TTTAAATTTGTTTACAACTTAAGTAACAATAAGACCTGTATCAAGGTTCATGTGTTTACATTTTTAACGATGTTTGACATTTGACTCATATTCAGCCTACAGCTAAATATTCAGTAGCTCTGAACATTTGCAGAAAACTTTTTTCTATGGAATTTTTGAGTATTGTTCGATGATGCTTCTAAAGTTTTGTAGTCTGCTGCATTTTTTTGCTGACATGTAAAGAATATATATTGTAAAAATGCTTTGAATCTCAGGAAAAAGCAGACTGTTGCTAATTTTAGGATTAATCAAATTTTGTCTGATGGTCGATTAACCATACTAAAATCAAAGCAGGATTAACAATACAGCTCACAGCTGACAAAAATAAATATTCTACTCAAGCCATAAAAGTTAAAGTGACTCATTCAAAAGATATCGATTTACATCTGCTTAATCTAATATCCATGAAAACTAGTTTCTAGTCTCTTAAATGTCGATAACTCCTACTCATATTTTCGACTTCCTCTTTTACTTCATATCAACAAATACAATAGTTTTATAGTTGGTCATCAACTTAAAGTTTTCAGTTTTCATCCACAAAAATCACAAATCAATAAATTAAACTTGTGACAATCGATTTAATCTTTTTTGGTCAGCTGACAACTAATATAAAATAAGATTTTCATATTTTAACAATGATTTTAAAGTGCTATGGGAAAAATATTTTTTCTCTCAACCTTTTTGTCTTTATTGCTGTGTCAATTGCATCATAAACGTAGATTAAATCGTTTATATGCAAAAAGATTAAATGATTTACATCGTTGAAGCAGAACATGAGCAGAAATTATGAGCAATTAACATTTTTTAAGCACAAGAAGTAAATTTTGAATGCATTGTGCGATCATAATCAGAAAGCAACATCAGTAATGGTAGCTGTGAATAAAATTTTAAATAAATTATACTCGAAGCAGTTACATTGAGGGTTGTTTGCAAGTGACGTCAACTTGTAAATATGATTTTTTAATCCCTTCGTATCTTTATCACATGATTATCAATGTAATTGAGTCTCATACAACTCCCACTGTTTGACGGTACATGTGAATGACTCTCAATTGAATAAATTTATGGAAATCACTTCACGAAGCGAAAATACTTCAGAAATTATTGAAAATTTCCCTCGACAGCAACTTTATTCTTTAGAATAATAATAATGCATGCATAATGAATATAGTTCAAAGGTTCATTCAACTTAGAAGCGAAAAGAAACGGCAAGAAATTATTTTTCACAGCATCTGCTAACAATAAGAATTGCTCTTCTTTAAAGCTTCTGTTTTAAATCTATAACAGTATTTATTAAGTAACTTGTATTGTGAATCATCAATAAAATCTCCGTCCATCTGCTCTTTAATAAACAACAAACCTCAACATTGAGAAAACGTGCCTTTTGAATCATATTCAATTTCCCCAGAAAATAACATGAAAACACAGAACAACATCACGATAGACACGACGTATTGAGACTAAACAAATGATTATTAACTCTATAAGACATCAATTTTGTTTATGTTTGCATGGGTTTGCATATTGCGTAATATTAAATGCTTCTTTCTTAATTCGAGTCATGGGATTTCTCAGAAAAAGTATTGAGTCTAAAATTATATTATACAAGGTTTGTGCTCACTAATTGCGCATCTTTGGAAGGATAAAAATAGAAGATTTTATTGTAATTGTTATTTACTGTTTACTAAATGTTTTATGAGCTGTAGGTGAATGTTAAGATAAATCTTTTATCATAATTGATTTCTAAAGCCAGTGAAGAAAGTGACGTGTTGTCATCGAATGAAAATGAATGCAATTCTGATAATTAGATGAATTTATGATCTAAGACAGAATTGCTGAGACTTGAGGAATGTGTAAAGTAGGCAGAAAATACTGCTTTTCCGTTAAAACTGGTTCCTCATTCCTTCTATTTCACACCTTACACTAAATCAATTAACATTCTACTCAAAAATTTCCTATAAAGTTTTTCTTCATATTATCAAACTCAAAATCCATAATGTTCATTAAATAAAGACTAGTTGAATAGGAATTATTGCGCTGGAAAATGCATTAAAAGGAATGAAAATAATTTCTTTACAAAATTTTAAAATAGAAAATTGCGGAAATTCTTTCATAAAAGAAATAAATAAATATAAAAAAAACTTTTTATGCAATAAGTTTCAATGAAAAATATCTCTAGACCAAAAATAATGATGAAACAGTATAACAAACAATAAGAGCTTAGTAAAAAAAAGGAAATTTTTGTGTGATCATAAACGCAAACTTGATAAATTGTGCAATATTTAGTTTCTTTCATCTTATTCTGCTGCTGTTAAAATACATAAATTGAAAGTATCATAAAATAATAATGAGAATAAGAAGTGAAATACAGACAAGACACAACTTCAACTTGTAATGATGTGGAGTCTTTATTGTGAATTTAAAACCAGTTTTCATCATTCCATTCATCTTTGATGCTTATTATTGCCATTTTTACTTTTTTCCTTCTCTTTTCTCATTTACTCAACAGAATGATCATCTTGAGCATAGAACTTAAAATGGCAAATCTAACTGTTTTGTTTTACAGCATTTGATGGAGATTATTCACTTTGTTTAATGCATGTAAGACTCATATTTATCTGTTACGATTAAGCTTCAACCTTTTGAGATTCAACTTCTATGTCAGTCATATGTCAATGCTTTCAAAAGCCATCATTAAAATGTATTTAATCTAACTTGTTTAAATCAAAATTTAAAATTTTAATGAGTCACTATTGTTGTTGTCTGCAGCCGCAAATCCATTAATATTCATAAAATTAACTTTCAAATAGACTAGAGTATAGCTTTAATAATTTTTGTATGCATAGACAAACAAATCAATGTTGTTATACATAATACATTAACGCTGATTTATTCATCCTTTAAAAATGTGATAAGAAAACATTTTGGACAGAAGAAAGTTTTATGAAATTTAAGATCGGATGAAATATTACGTAAATGGTTATGCAATAATTATAATAAAGTAATTAAATTTTTTAAGTCATCATTAATAGGAGATATAAATGAAATGAAGCGAGGTAAAATTTCCGCAATAAACTAGCGATGACCAAATGAATAAAAAAAATTATCAAGACTTGTTTCCATGTTTCTTCTTAACATAGACACATTAACTTCATGTTATGCCTAACAACTTTCCTTCATCACATCTCACATCATGGTATAATCAGTTACTAAATATGGTGACAAAACGGATGATGAATTTAATTTTAACGTGATCACAGCATGGAAGGAAATTGATACTTTAAGTGATCGCAATTGTGAAGAAAAGTGAGCGAAATTATTTTCACGCGTAACCGTCAGTTTATGAATTATCTCTTACTGTAATACTTGTAGTTCTTTGCAATGTGTTAGAGTTAATTTCAAGTATCAATCACATTTAATTTAAGTTCTTAGCCTAATGAAAATAAGCAGATTCATTGCTGAATTGATTTAATAGGATTTAATGATGAAAACTTCTAAGTTTAAGTAATTTTGACTTGGGTTCAAAACCTACGAATGATACAAACCTAGGGTTAAACTGATAGTATCTTTTTTTCTTAAATTTTAATATTCAAGCTTTTTTTTAAATGATTAAACGACTAGCACAACTTTGTAATCTAAACCTTGACTTAATTTTTGCATGTCATACAAAACCAAAATAAAAAGATCCATTAAAACACTTTAGCCCTTAATTCTACATTTCCTGTGACATCAAAAACATGAATAGAAAGTCTAAAAAGTACATAATTTTCAATTTTAAAGCACAATTTAATTTCTATTGCTAAGACTCCTGTTGTGATCAAAGAAATTTCACCAAAAATGAGAAACATAATTGAGCGAAAGCTATTTAATACAAGATAGAAATGCAATCAAAAGAATTACATTACATGATCATGTACTCAACGCCGCCAAAAGCTGTAAATTAAATTTTCACTTTGATAAAAATTTGAAATTGAGACACTTATTTTTTATTTGTATGGCAGTTTAACAAAAGATATACCTGGGTTATAGTAAATAAAAGAAGAAAGAAGTAACATAAATTCGGTATCTAAACAGGCAATGAATAATGGATCACTTTTCTCTATTAACTTGCAATTTGAAATGAATAGCGAGCAGCAAAATAATAACAACAAAAAGTTAACAATGTAAAGGCAGTGAAAACGCACGTAGTGCCATTACTATTCAATTTACATCGGTCAACAAAGCGAAAATTGAAATTTTTCTTTTCAAACCTTGTTGCTCTATTTAAATAGAGGCAATAAATTTTTTTTAACAGCACATGAAGTGTTCGGTTGCATACAGATGATATTAAAGAAGTTGACATTGAAACGTGTAATTTATGTTGTAAACATTTTTATAGGAATTTTTGCTGACTAGCAGTCTATGAATTGTTGAAGTTTAAAATTTCTAATATTGCTCAAATCACAAGACTTTGCTCATTGTTTATAATTCTCTCTACTTTTCAATGTGTGTTCCCGATTGCTCTTTTCGATCGTTTCTCAATTCGAGTTTTAACATGCCAGATGATATGGTTATTTACTAAATTATCCACATTCTGAATGCCCCAAGATAGTTTTTATAGTTTTATGTTTGGAGCTACTAGCTTCGATTCTAAGAAGTTTATAAAGGGACATTTCAATGAATTATTGCTGCTGCAAAATCACTTAATATTCAACATTGCTAAATGCAGTTCTATAAACTTTACAACCATTTGAGGTTATGTTCTATGGGTAAATGCAGTTCTATAAACTTTACAACCATTTGAGGTTATGTTCTATGGGTAATATCAACAATCCCCGAGAACACATGTGTTTGTAACATTTGCATTTGTGTACTCTGATTCGTCCTATACAGTTATAAAATTTATGATAAACAATTCGGGCATGAGAAAGAACAAAACGGAAACAAAAAAGATAAATTTTACTTCATAGCAGTTCTCTCTAAAATTTCATTCCGAAATGTTTAATTCAAGAAGACGTCCCATTTCTAATAAACGTAAAGGCATAATTGGCTTAGTTATCGCACTAGTTATTTACTTATTATTTGTTGACCGATTTCAAACGTACGAGCAATCAGAAGTAATTAAAAATGCAAAGCCGGTGGCAGTTTGGGAATTTATTGCTGATTTTAGTAAAATGAAGCAACTTAATCCAACAATTTTGGATTTTAAAATTCTTTCCGATGTTGGAAATATTAACGATTGGAAGTATACTGTGGAGTTTGTTGAGCAATTATCACATTGGCCAAATTGGCAGAATACAATCAATGGCAACTTCCACGTTAGAAAAGTTTTACAGGATCACAAAAATCTGTATCTTGTCGAATCGACACACAAAGTCTGCTTCTTTAAATTCTTCTGCCGTAAGTATCTCAATTTGAATTTCTAATTACAATGATCTCAGCCAGATGTACCTATGTTTATTATATAAAATCTCAATTTATTTTGCAAGTCAAATCAACTGGGGAATTTCAAATAAAGGAATTTAATACTGACGACACACACGTTACTGAAACTGTAACGTTTCAATGTCCGCCATTTATGAGCACATTATGTCGTCGAGAAGTGGAATATCAGAGGACAAAGATTTTGCAGAACTTAACATATCATTTTGCTCAACTTTATCGACAACAAGAGATGGAAATGATGGAATAAATCTGGATTAGGAATCAAATAAGTTCTGTAATTGAATAAGAATGCTTATAGAGGATATCGTCGAGATAAAAGCAACAATAAATAGATTTTATGAGATTTTAAATGAGAAAATGAAATAAATTTTTAGTATCCAATTTGAAAACTTATTAGTTTCGGCATCAAAACTTAATTAAGTACGTTATTTAATTTATTGCAGTAAATTTGCTAATTTATGGCTAGACTTCCTTAAACATAACGTTCATTCATCATCATTATCTAATTTTAGTTTTCTAAATGAACACAAACAATCGATCAAAAATGGATGGAAAGATTCATAAAAAAAAACAAATAGAATAGCAATTTCCATAAAACTTTCTGTATTAGGTAGTCATTCTTTTCGGTGATGTTACTTCCACAGCTTATTGTTCATAGATCATATTATTTTGGAACTATCTTGTGTCTACGCACGTATTACATTTAAGGAAATTGTCACTCTTGACTAATGCGTTCCGTAAATTCCAAAGATTTTCACAAAAATGGCATTTGTCAGCCTTAAACTTTACGTTGGTTCCTAACATTTACATTAAAAACTAATCGTAGGTAATCATCTCCATAAAATGCCATCAGTGATTTAATTAAATCTTTTAGATAAAGAATTTGTTCAAGGTTGGCAAGCATAGCCGACAAATTGAGATTTAAGCTTACGGAAAGTGAATATATGTTACACTTTCATTATCATTAAATGTGCTTGTTCTATTTAATTCTACATTTGAGTTTTTATTCAGCTCTAGAACTGACCTTGCATATATAAATATATGGCAAAGTAGATGGCTGACAATGGTGATTGAATTCAAATTCAGAACAAGTTCAAAATGGTTTATTAAATGCATAAGCATACTCCATGACTGTAACTTGATGCCATAACCGGCAAAGCGCTGCTTAATACTTTAGAACCTCGAAGATAATCACGAACCAACATACTCAGCACTTTATTAAAGAAACAGAAATAAAAATATTTATTTACATGCTTCATATCCACAATGTTCTTGAACTCGATAATTTTAGCTCTTTAGATCTGCGTTTTGAGATATCAAAGAATGACTACTTAATAAGTGTAAGGAACGAGATAAAACTATTTTAATTGGATTTTGAAACTTTATTTATCACGATAATTTGGCGTGAATGCTATTTTTTTAAATAATTTGTTTTAACCCATTGCACTCATAGTCTTACTTTTTATAATAAAAAGTATTTCGTCATTGTTGTTTTGATATTTTCAAATGCGACTATAAAGTGAAGTAAGGTTCAATCACGAGGAAAAAAAGGAGGCGCCATGAAATAACAAAACAGATAAAAAAATATTTGAATGTCAATTTAAATACAAAAAAATTAAGTTAATGCACCAAGTAATTTTCTGTTTATGCTCAACACTGCTCAAAACATAAAACATGATAGAATTGTACGATTTTAACAAAAGGCACAAATTTATTTATGACTTTTAAGTCTGTATTTCTGTTCTTTTGCCTCTTTTAAATGCAAATAAAATTTATTTTTAAAATAAGCACTTATGCTGGTATTTTTTTGCATTCTGTCTACACAAAATAAAACTTAAAAGCCTTTTCGGATGAATGAGATCATCACAATAATGATTTGAAGTTTAATTAAGAAAACGCAATGAAAATAACAATTAATAAATAATTGTTGAGTAATTAACATGGCTAATTTATGAAATAAACAAATTAATGTGATGGAAAAAAAATATAATTAATTTATCTGCATGAATCATAAAGCCATCGAAATTCTGCACAAATATGTATTAATTTTAAATGTTTTATTTATTGAGCAATTCTGTTTAACCTTTGCTATTGTGAGAAGAAAAAAATCCCGTCAATTAAATCAAATTTATTAATAAGAAAAAAATTTCCATTTAATGCGCAATTGGATTTTTCAAGATTTTTTATATCATGTTAAATGTTTGCATAATTAAGAGTCATATATGATTGGGAATTTACAAAGAACTTATCAGTATGATAAGATGTTATTGTAGCCATCGATTTTGTAAAGAATTAACACAATAAAGTGTTAGAAATTAAGATAAACTCCCTAAGAGCTGGTTCGATTCCCAAAGTAAAATTTTCACAATTTTGTAGTACTTAAATTTTGCATAATTTTTTTTGCTGTTCTTAACAAAAAATTTTACCGCTTCACAATGAAATCTTCATCTAAATTAAAGCATTTACTGATCAATTTCGGAATCAAATATTAAACTTTATTTTAAAGCACAGCATTAATAGAATCGTGAAATTACAAACAAACCCCATCATAAAGGTCAGTGCTAGAAGTAAATGATCTTTGAAGGAAAAACAACAATAATCATAATGATCTAAATCAAAAAGGCTTTATATCCATAAAATATGAAACAATTTGCAGCCCATCCCATAAATAAAGAAATAATTTTTTTTTCAACGATGTAGAGTAGGGGTTCCAGAATTCCCGTTCTCGTTAAAAGAAGAAAAAAAGTTAAAAGCTACACTTACACCATGTATTTTCTTTAGGTTTTTAAATCAAATTTAAATTCTATTTGATTTGATTGTCAAATTGATTCTTTTGACAATAATTTCCGTTTGAAATTCAATTCTTTTTGGTTTTAGAACAATTCTTAAAGTACGATTTTAACTGGTCTACCAATCTAGTGCGATTTTTTGAGACAATATTATTGGAGATTGAAAAGTTAAGTTCAGCTCTTGTAGATGTTGGTGGATTCCAGAAATATTAATTTCCAGCACGTTTTTTTTATTTTGGAAAAATTACTTTAATCCAATGTCAATTAAGTTTATTATTTTATGGACATCATACATTTAAAAAATATTTTTAAATACTTTTTCTCTTCGTTTTTCATAAATATATGTTTTTAATTTAAAAAACATCAAATTTGAGTTTAATATTTCAACTCTTAAATTTCTTAAGGGCAATTCTACGAGTAAAGGGAACTGCGGAAATTTGCATTGTAAGTTTTCGCTACTTGCAAAAATTTAATTTTTTTTTATCCGTTATATTTCTTGGATAAAAATATTGTGTTTCTTTTTATAAAGTGTATTTCTCCATTATTGTTACGTTATTCGTTCTTAAAGTGTAAACTTTAAGGCAAAAAGAGGCATGAAAAACTAATTAAAATACGTTTTTCCATATGTAAAGAATATTACAGAATATAATTGCAACGGTAATTTAAAATTTAAATTTTTCGTAAGCGCTTCAAGCTTAGTCGAAAATATGTAAAACAAATTTTAGCTTAATTAAAGCATTTCTGCTACCCTGTTTTTTCGTTATAAGCTACTACTCGTTACTAAGCTACTAGCTTAGTAAAGTTTTTTTGAACTTGAAAATTTTTCGGAATCTTTACTAAGCTACTACCAAAAATAAAGCTTAATTAATCTTTTTCAATTTTCTAAGTATCAGTTTCAATGCCCTATGACATTGTGAATGAAATGAAATTGAGAAGATAGCAAAATCTCTTTAATTAAGTTAAGAAATTCAAAATTTTCATTGAAGTTCAATTTCTTTACTAAGCTACTACTCGTTATTAAGCTACTAGTGAGCCAAAAAAATCACTTTTTTATTCTTCTAAGCTACTAGCATATAACGAAAAAACAGGGTATGTTTTAAGTCAAAGGTTTGTTAAATTTGTGAATTCAAACATTTTTTGGGTAGAGACACAAATCAGAAATGAGTGTTTAGTGAAATATTTAACAAATTAAAGTACATTTTGTAAATTCCACCGATTTACAGTAAAAAAGTTAAAATATCTCCTCATACAGCCATTTATTGCAAACAAGTACTATTCATAATGATAAACATTCCCTTTTTACATAATTTTAATTAATTTAAATGTGTAAAAAGTCAATATTCAAAGTTTTTTTAATAGAATAAAGAAATTTTGTAATTTTTTTCACTCGTAGAATTGCCTTTAACGTATGTTTTCATTATTATAATTTTTTTCTTTAAATTGTAGTTTTTTTCATGGAAAATACAAAATAAAAAAAAAAAACTTATTTGAATTGTCGGTTTTTTTTGGTATGAAAACGGGAATTTCGGGAATATTCCCGTTTTTAGAACCCCTTATGATTGAACATCGTCAAGACAATAAGACATCGTCAAGACAATTCTTCTGTGGTTTGTCGGTTAAAAAAGTCTATATAAATCCAATTTGTATCAAATATTCATACTATGTGCTTACTTGTGTGTGAACGATGAGTAATTGTTCAAATGTGAAGAAAATAACACAAAATTTGAAATGTTTTATGATGGCTATAAGTGCTGATCCTTAAAGAACCTAAAATATATGGAAATTTTAAAAACGAATTAGTAAAATAAAAATAAATTTAATTCTTAATTAAGATTTGCTGTTTAAATTAAAGTTTCATGATATCAAATTCACTTTCTCTGTTGGAAATTAGTCAGAAAAACTTTCAAAAAGGCTCACGTAAAGCCTACGTTACGTAAAATGATTAAGTAAAATCACATAACATTAAGTACTATGTTCCGTTCGCTCTTTCTCGATGTAAGTTAAAGATGGAAGTCGATGGACAGGTAAGAGAGAAGCTGATGCAAGATGAAGGAGGGATTAAACTGAGAAAGCAAATTTTTTGATGGTTCTTCTTTCAAAGTTAATCATATCAAGTTTAATTTCAACCAAGGAAATGAATCAATCGTGTTTTCATTCCATTACTGCTCACATTTCAGGCTTTGAATCAGAACAGTCCGAGATAGAGGCAAAAACGTTCTTTACCACACACCTGAGCATGAAAAAGAACCACAATTTAGGGTTAGGGTTAGACGCTTGTAATTAAGCTTCTATTGATTACAACCCAAATCATCAGAGGCTCATTTTTCACATTAAACTACACGATACGTCATTGGACCTGATGTAAGTCTAATGCTGTGTGTGAGAACAGGCATCTAGACAAAAAATTGCAAGTCTCATTTACGAGCAAGCAATCAATGTCCTTGATGCCACTCTACATCAAGGATGAACCAATCAATAGCCACGATAGTAAGTCTCACAGGCAGAAACACATGACTCATAGGCTCGATTTACAAAAAAAAAACAAGAACAGAAAAACTTTTTAAAAAAAGGGTCAAAAGACTTTGCTCCCTCAAGTTTTTC